AATGGAGTTAAAAGCCAACGGCGTTTCTGGTCAACCAAGAATTATTGATGCGTCTTTGGAAACCAACAAGACCCTTCGGTATTAGCACAACAAGCAGGTACCTGTTGACCACTATATTCATCCGGCTCTAAAAAAAATGTTTTTTTTTACAACGGTAAATTGATATGGTCGATTTATGAAGAAATCCTCTTTATCTGTTGAAAAGTTTTGAATTGAAGAGTTATGTTGAAATATAGGTAATATTTGCACATTTGTTCTTGTTTAATTCAGCTGTCCTCTTCAAATGCATTTTCTTTTCAGTATTGAGAACCCTGATTTTTTTTCTGGCTTCGAACTTGAAGATCGTCTGGACTCATATTATTTGTATCTCTATAAAGGCTGATTTACACGGCACGATTGTCTCGTGCGACTTGTAGTATACGACTTGAATCGCGCAGTGTAAATGCCCCTACGACTTGTCTACAATAATCGTACGCAACCTACGACTTGTAGTAGGGTTTTGAACCACTGCTTAAAATTCCACGACTTGTAGTAGGAAAATCGTATACTACAAGTCGCGCGCGACAAATCGTACCGTGTAAATCAGCCTTAACTGTTTCCACATCACCGTTATGTCTCTAGCTAAGGCAATTTGCACCAGCAACGATTAGGATTACGTTTATGATTGATTATTGACAAATTATGATAACCAAAGACAACCCAAATTGTCCGTAGCCGTTAACAAACATCTCGCGCAGGAAAAAGTAAAGAACAAACAAAAGCGTTGAAAATAAAAAATTTAAACATTTGTGACGTGGTAGAACGACAGCACCCAACGCATTACAAGGAAAGTACGAGTGAAGAAACATTCCGGGATAATAATTCTCAAGAAAGACGAAAGGCAAAAGACGGTAAACGATCGAAAGTAATATAGCGCTACAACCGGCGCAACCAGTCGCACAAGTCGACTGTAGTCCTCATAAAGAGAATTCCACGAAAACATTATGACCAGCCAGTTAGTAAACAATCAGTTACTTATCCTTGCCTGTTTTATTGTCATTGTACAAATATCAGTGTATTCCAATATTAGGGAAGTTTGGAGGTAGTGGAACATTAAGTGTGGCAGTTACTGTTCCTATAGATGGTGTTCCATCAGCTTTTCTTTTCTTCGAAGATCCACTTGTTGCAATATTACAACCAATAACTCTCAGATGATTGCTTACCCTGATAAAAGAAAATTTTGACAATTGTGAAAACTATTGTGTAGAATGATTCTGATATTTTTTTTGGAGTATGATGATGATTTGGAATGCAAAGCCTTTGAAGTCGGGAAGCCGATGGGGAGGGGTAGAGGCTGAGTGCATCTCTGGTTGAAAGTTTAAAGCCCTGAGCCCTCCACAGGTACTCCAAAAGGGCTCGGTATACATCAAATATTCACCAAATTACCTCTTCGGATTGATCTTAAGATCCTTTGCTATAACTGTACAGTCCACAATAAACTCATCGATAATCAAAGCAAGAACAAGAATATAGGAAAGCAGTTTGTCTTTTAACCTTTTGGGTACTAATCTGAAATTCAAAATGACACATCAAAAATGTTTACAAAAAATGCATGACATATGAAACTAGAGCAAACGCAGGAAAACCATGAAAAAAAGTCAAACGAAATACTAGCAAATAGCGGCTATTTAGAGACAAATTGTCAGTATCAATGAACCAGTAGAATGCAATAAAGATGAATGAAAAATGGTCCCATCGTCCCAAATGGTCATCTTCATTGTGTTCTGATTCATTGATACTGACAAATTGTCTCTAAATAGCCACTATTTGTTAGTATTTAGTTTGATTTTACTTCATGGGTTTCCTGCGTTTACTCTATTATTACTGACATTTTCAAAATAATCTTCAAAATAATTTTCAAAATATCTCTAAAATGCAATGGAGCCAAGTCCTTCATCCATAGATTATGTAAATGAAAACAAGAAAAGTTATGTAAATGGAAAGTAGTTGACTATAGATAACTGTATCCTCACCTGTGATTCGCTTTTTTGGGATTTTCTAGTGTAAAAGTAGCCAGTAGTCTGTCTTTGACCACATCAGGGTAACCAGAAAGAGGATCTAAATGAGAGAGAAAAATAAAAATGTCAAAACGTAACATACAGATTTCCCTCTTGCTTTGCAGTGAGGAAAGAAACTGGCTTTCTGCAGTGCACAAGTTCCCATTTTTCACTTCTATTTAGTAAAGACCGCAAATAATACTCCAGTTTCGAATTCTCCAATGCTCTGTGTTAGCCTCATTTGTGCGCAAAATATTCCTTCCTAAAGTGTGAGATTGTAAATCAATTCTATTGTCCTTCTTCACAAAATTCCATGCATTTTCTCGAGCTATCAATGAAACAAAAGAATATGTTACTTGGTTTTGAGGCTAACACAGAGAAAACAAGAACTCGAAATCGGAGTATTGACTTACCTTTTTTCTTGAACGCTGTGTGATTCATTTGAAACATGCTAATAAGATATGATAAATACTGTAGTAAACATGATCTGTGGCTTCTTTCAGACTCACTAAGTGGCATTACAGCAGCATGTTGGAGGACATATTCTGGAAATCTGAAACAACAAATATTAGTAAATGTCTTGTTGTCTTTCCAGTCTCTAATTCAAGATATACTTTTGAATGCCTGCATTACCCTGGATACTTTGCCAACATTTGCTTTTGATTTAAAAAGAAGTGCTTGCCTTTGATTTGTTAGATCATGGAACTACTGTACGTTGCTTGCGTTCTTTATTGATCTACTCAGTGGCGGATCCAGGGGGGTTCCATGGATTCCTAGGAACCCCCCTCCAGCATAAAAAAAAGATAAATGAAATGTGGGTGTCTTTACATTTGCTACAGTTCGAGAGGCACAGTAAAAAAAGTTCGTTTTAGGAAATGCGAAAACAAAGTTGAACCCCCCTTTGAAAAATCCTGGATCCGCCACTGCTACTTCGCAGTATCGTTTACAATCATATGGCTAATTGGTTGGCTTTAAAGCCATACAAGCACTGGCAACAAAATATAGGATTTTTCAAGTTTTACTATGTGTAGCCCTCCCCCCAAAATAGAAATCTCAATGCACCCCCAAGTTTTTTTTATACACTTGAGTTGTCAGTGGTGATTTACACTTGCAGGTTTTATGTTGTGCTTCCTTGAAAATCCAGAAATTCATAAAGGCCCTTTCAATCAACCATATTTAGTGCAACACAAAATATTGATGTTCCATGTAAAATATCCAGAGCGTTGCATTTAATATTGTTTAACTTACAGTAGATATTGTTGAATTGCGACTTCTTTGTTTTGAAGTTTGTCTGGATTTTGTTCTTTCCTTCAATCTAAGGGGCAGAGGTTTTCGAAAACTCGTTCGGTCATTGTCAGATTTGTATCAAGCTCCGCCCCAACGCCGCAGAAATGCCTAAATCCCAACAATTTCCTTTGAACATTGAAGTCGCAATGCAACGGTTTCTGCTGTAATTGATATATGAAAATGCAACAGCTGAAAAATACAATGTTGATGTGTGTGTTGTTTATGCATACTTCTCTTGCTTTCTCCATTGTTCAATCAGCTCCTTGTTAGCGCCTTGCAGCTCTTTGGCTTTGAATTTTATTGCATTGTACTCAGATGGTAAAATAACTGTTACTGAATCAAGGAACAAGACATTTTTTTTCATCAAATAATACTTGTTTATCAAAGACTCATTCATCTCCATCCAGAGCCTTCAATTTTCTGTTGTGAGGGAGACTCAGAAGGATCTTGGTATTAATATATGAAATGTTAAAATTTAATTGATTTTGCTGAAAAATGAATTGACTTATAGTCCAACAAATGACCAAACTTTAGAATCGATAATGAATGGATGAACAATAAATAATTACATACAAAAAGGATACTGTCATCAATATTATAAACATCAGCTGSTGTTTGTGCTTTAATGTTGAAAGGTGGAATTGTTGAAGACTGATGATTTTCTTCTGCTACTGGAGACAAAGGAATTTTAAAGAATGACAATGAAACATAATAAAACAAAAGCAATATATATGTATAAATCTTGAGCAATAATCAAGAATATGTTCATCAAACCTTCTTCTAAAGCAGCACTCATGGTTGTTCCCTGGACAGCTTCAGTAACAGAACTGCTCAATTCCTCTTTGTTAATTACATTTTTCTTGCGAGACACAACCAGTCTTTTCTTTTTACTGCTGCCAAAGGCTTCAGTTAGGCGGTCAGACTGAAAACATAATCATATTTATTAACTGACTGTCAGGAGTTTTCTACCACATTGTAAATAATTTTATAAAACTTATTAATAATGCATGAGCTATTACTCCAATAAGGGCTGTCCATTTAATCAGGTGATTGACCTTGTAAATCTGATACAACACTGTGATACAACACTAGTGTTGTATAAGATTTACAACACGGTCGTCACCTTGAGACAACACACAGACAACACTAGCAAAGGTCTCAGTTTTAGTATCGCATCATAGACCTTCACTAGGTTTTGAAGCAATCAAAGACGAATAACAGAACTCGCTTATGCAACAGATGGCTTGCTTTCCATGTAGGATGGATAATTATTCAAAATGTTCTGTGTTGCAGTAAATTGCGCATGCCTAATAGCCGCTAAACTCAGCAGTTACCTTAATTATCATTTTTCGTCATTTATTTCACTGTAATTCATGTTAATTTGTGTTGGTGAGGAGTTTTATAAGTCGTTTACAACATTTGTGTCCGCTCATGTTGTAAACATTACTTACATTGGTAAAAACACAATGGTAATCTTAAGAGCCTAGTCAGACAATCTAATGCTTATTTATGATGATTTTTTTTACTTGGCTGTTGACAGAGCAGAGGAAAATTAATATGTTACAATGCAGTTTTGCTTACTTTTTCTATGAAGGATAATTCTTGACTTCCATCTTCATTGTCTCTGTCAGCAGCATTCTCTATTAAAAAGGTTTTTTTTTAACATGAGTCAATTACCAACTACTGAGCTTGGAGTGGATGCTATCTGGTCTGCCTTCTCAACCATATAACAATATGTCCATCATATTTGCAAAATAGTTACTCTATTGGTTCTGTACTGCCATTCAGTGATGTATAGACGGATAGACATCAAGAAAAATGGCAAATTATGACCTTAATTCAGAAGTAAAATAACATCTCAAGGTATAAGACAAAAATAACGTTTTTTACTTATTTTTTCGTTCAAAAATGTCACATTTACATGATTTATAGATATTGCTAAGTCCTGGATTGACTTTGATTTTTGTCAGCAAAAATATATAAAAAGTGTGTGGATTGGATTAATCATATCCTTCAATGTTCAATTTCTCATATGGTAGGAGATCTACRTRGGGAGAATAAACAGTTTATACCTAAAACGTTTGGCTGCAAAGTGAATGACTGTGTATCATATATTTTCATTTTTCCACTCTCGCTATCCAGTACACCAACAAGATATCTGAAAGAAAATCATATTGGAAAATGTTACTCAATAACAGACAGATATGGATGTAACAGTTACTGGAAATTAAACAATCACTTCCTCAATCCCTTTGAATTTCCATATTATTTACTACTAGCAAATGGATGGATAGTTTTTAAAAGAAAAAAGAAAGAAATTAGTACTGTACATACTTGCAGAGAGAAGTTGATCTTGAAAATTGTCCAAAGTTCTGACCGGTATATTCCATGCTATCAGATTTAGCTGTCTGCATAAATGTCATAATTAAAAATACAACGTTATTACATTGTATAATATTCTTATTGACTACATGAAAGTCTTTCCTTTCTTTTTCCACTGGTCCCAGTTAAGTAGTCCTTTGACTATTAGCCGTGCACAGGCTCCGCCAGGCCTGGCTCATAAAATGCTTAATATTTTTTATTCATTTTTTCTATATTAGGCACCACTTCACTCTGTTATCCAGAGTCTATAGTTCACTGGAGTCTTTAAATAGTCCAGGGAGAAGGAATTCCTGCACTGATGAATGTCAGCATGTCAAATCCCTTAGCACTAATGCACCTATCAATGTCTTGCCCCAAGAAGGCCGGGCATACCCAGGGGCTATTAACATTTTTGGACAACAAATGTCAATGAGCCCCTCTTAAATTCTACATCAAATGACAATAGGCCCCTCATGTTATAACGATTTAAAGTAAAGTACACCAGGACTGCGTTGCTCAATGCTTGATGAAAGCTGATCCTGGTTTAGCTCTTAAAAACCTATGGAGTTAATCCTGGACGATTCAGCACATGTTTAACAATTTTTCCTGCAGTTGTAAGTGAATGAAATAACATTCTAAAATGTTTAGTCTCTGAGCAAATTGTCAATAAGCCCTACCCTGGGGGGATCCCTGTGTCAATAAAAGTCGAACAGCCCCTGTCAGGGGCTATGTTCGTATGTCAATAGCCCATTGCGCCTGGGCTCCCCCTGTTGGGGCAAGACAAGATAGGTGCACAAGCATGGGTATAGCTCCCCCCACCTCCCCCTTTACCACTATCTCCTCCTTTTGGCTAATGTAATTCTGACAGTGTAAAAGAAGAGAGAAGAATTATGAAGAGTAATATTATAATTAACAATTAGACCTCGAGGTCGAGTGGACTACGAGCTAATAGCCCATGAGGCCGAGTCCGTGAGGCCAAATGAGGCCAAATGGGCTATTAGCTCGTAGTCCACGAGGCCGAGAGGTCTAATTGTTTTAGTATAAACATAATCGGTCAAATAATGAAAACAAATTGAAATATCCTTAAAATAATTTATAATTTATTTATTTTGATTTTCCCGCGAGTGGTCTATCACAAATTAGACCATTAGTAGAGTAACCAATCAAAGCGCAGTATGAGTGATAGACCATTAGTATGTTTATACTAATACAGAGTATACAAGTAATCGTGTTGATTTGAGTGAGTACGGTGTGTAGAGCAAAGAAGATTTGATCAAATTTGAAAGATCGTTTTAATATTTGCATGTTCTGTGGACTTTAAAATGCTTCTTGACTTTTCTATTGATTTACCAGAATTCGTCGATTCTTTTTTCTTTTATCTGTAAGATCTTTCCATCGATAGTAGGAGAAGTCAAGGCCATGCTTCTTCTTTCCCTTACGATCAGCGGTCAGACATGCATTTGTAAAATGCACTGTTGAGTTGATTTTAAATAATTTATTACAAAAATTATAAATCAGAGATAGAATCAACATTCCAAAAAATAGTCATGAAAGGTTTTAATCTCACTTTCTTACCTAAAAGAGGTTGTATACCTTCATTTTCTAGAGGAACATACTCCAACTCTGCAGTCGCCATTTTGGATTTTGATTTCTCGCACGTGACACAATTCGACGGAAAGTCCATGATTGGTTCAAAATACTGATAATTGTCCAATCAGAACGCGTTCGAATCTGAAAGACGTTCGCGGGCTCAAAAACAGCTGATTTTGTTTTCCTTGACGGCGCTAAAAAGACGCGGCTTCGAGAAAACCAAATACCTGCTGTGTTTACTACATTTTTCTTTGGAATTATTCAAAAATTCCAGCGTATCTAGCGTCCCAAGAAGTTTCACAGGAATTTTCTGTAACTTCTACTGTTATCTAACTCTTCTTGTAGAAGACATGGAAAATTTTGATCGGCCATGACGTCAATAGAAGCCCTTTCGCCGACTTACAAGGAAGAAGATTTCAAGGAGTTGAAAGAACGGCTCGAGGTAAAAACAAACCATCGAAATCRGAGCATYATCTATTAATTTTTTACTGCATTTGGAATCAGGCAAGCGATTTTTAAATCGGCACTCAACAGCAGCAATTTTCGTTTTYTTCTTCTTTTGTTCTCACAAATGGATGTTTATCCTGTCCTAGTTAATCACCTTTTGGATGTTTCTCAATTTATGGCGAGATCCTAGCAACAAACTTATCACCTCCATCTTCCTTCATTAGGCAGATCTGTTGTAATATTATGTGCATTATTTGAACGATTTTCTCTAATTTTCCAGCCTTTATTTGAAGCTGATCCATCGAAGGTAAGCTCAAAACGTACTGTTTTCCTCRAAGTTATCAGAGCGTATTAGAATATTGATCCCCTTTTGCTGGGATTATTTTCGTGCGACGTGGAATTAATATAATTGCGTCACAAGTGTTAATAAATGCTTTTAGGCTTTTTACCTTTTAATTGTATATATTTTTTCTTCTATTGTTATATTTGAAATAGCAGCTTCTTTTCTCTTTGATTAGTAAGTGAATCACGTAATAGTAAATATGTTGTTAGAATAATTTAATTCCCCTGAAGGCTCCTGCGGAATGCTCCGCTATTTCTAGAACTCATAATCATATGCGCGCAATGCAAAAATGAGTCGGATTGGCAACCTTCCGTGAAGTATTCACATTTTTATTTCACAACGATTCAATTGAAACAAAAAACATACTCTGAGGACTGTAGACTAGTGGTATTTTGTTCTTTGGGAACAGAATGACAAGGTTATAGAGCATAGTCCTTTTTGATATGGAACAAAATGATGAAGATTTCAAAAGAAAAAAAATGTTATCTGGAGATAACTTGTCCACCTTGTAAAAATTTTAGCGTAGATTGCGCTCTGATTGAGACCGTTGTATCAAAGAGTACGTATACTACGTGCTAAGCCTGGCCTCTTTGTTATTTTATTTTTCATTTTTGCGCTGCCGGCAAAAGCACTTTAAAATAGGTTTAATACATGTACATCCATGCAGCCGAAGAGCTGAGCATTATATTCTCTATTAGGCACAAACTGATGCTTGCCTCAAGAGATTTCTCAAGGGATTTCAAGATGTTGACGAAGCATGCAAAGCGCTTTTAAAGTACATAAAATGGAGGGAGGACTATGGGGTCGACTACCTTAGCAATGACGATGATGTTATGCAAGAAGTAAATACCGGAAAAGCAGTGGTTTTGGATTTTCCTGACAAGACAAATAGGTACACTAGGTTTGATTATCAAGATAGAAAAATATCAAATGAAAATATCAAGGAAATGAATAGATATGACAAAAAATGCAAAATGAATAAATCAAACAAGGAAGCAATATCGCAAATTTTATAAATGAATGAAATACAAAACGTAAAACGATTAAGTGTAAAAAAAAAAAATTACAGTAAAGAGACAAAGAACAAAGAGAAAAATAACAGAATTAATGGATCCAATGTTTCAGATTTGTGAAGCTAAATTGGACCTGACCATCATGTAGTGATTGAAATAAACACACTGATTTTCTTCTGATTTTCCTATGAATTCATAAGTAAGATTTGAAACTGTGATAAGGCATAAATTGATGTTTTTGCTGTGTTTTATTATCTAACAATTTTTTTAAATTATCAATAAATTATCATCAACCAGATCTATGTATATATTTTACAGACCAATAATTGTAGTAACTGCGAGGCTTCATGATGCTAGAGATCGAGATATTGAAGTTGTCACAAAGTTCATCATTTATACATTGGTAAGTGAAACTAGGCTGTCTAAGTGATATAGCGGACWGTCCAGTCAGTACTGCACACTGGATGRCRRAAAGTGAAAAACAGCACAATTTAACCAATGCAATCCTATTAACATGTCAAAAAGGAAGTTGAATTATCTCGTTGGATTTTGCAGGAAATGGCTACAAGAAAGTGTGATGAAAGCATCATTGACAACATCTGCATTGTATTTGATTTAAAGGTATTAATGTGTAGGAATAGATGACTTTTATTGCAGTGCTTAAAACTRAATTATTCWTTRTGTTATTGTTTCAGGACTTTTCACTTTAYAACATGGACTACGGGTTTGTAAAGCAGCTCATATGGCTTCTGACCAGAMGATTTCCAGAAAGACTAGGARCGTGTCTCATTGTCAATGCTCCGTTTATCTTTAGTGGTTGTTGGTCATTAATCCGACTGTGGTGAGTATAGACTTTTAAGAGAAAATGATTGACAGGAGTGGAGGACAAATTGCATGGATTTTTTAACCAGTTGCCTTAAAACTTAAATTTACATTGTTTGCATGCAGTCATAGTATCAGTAATGATTATTACTCATCCCAGTCATGCCTCCTCACTTTTCTGAGTAATGAGCGGATCCAGGGGTGTGGTAGTGTTTAGGGTGGCTAGCTATCTCCTTTTGAGTTCTTTAGAATGTAGGAATAGAAATTGGCATAAATATATAAAGGAAGCAATAGATCTTTAGTGGGACTCATTCTGAACAATTTCTTGCATTAGCCACGCCCCCTAACATTCTAGATCTGCCACCGGTGGTATGTGCAAATGGTTCTAATCCAATGTTCTCATTTCTCATTTATGGAAGGGTGTAAAACATCTATTAGCTTGCATTAATTATGTAAATGATAAGTTAATGGGTGCAGCCATTTATTGTGATTGTTATTTTTCTAGGATAAATGAAGTTACTGCAAGCAAGATCTTATTTATAAAAGATGAAAAACATCTGTCTGAGTTTATTCCTCTCAATATTTTACCAAACACCTTGAAACAGCAGTGACAACCTACGTTACATAGCAATCCATAAGGATTGAAATAGACCTTTGTAATTGAGATATTACATTTGGCTATGCTTGTTTATAACACCCTTATAGACCAGCCTGACATTCCTAACTATTTCTTGAAAATAAACCTTTTTTATCTCTGCATTAGTATTTGTAAGTTTTGATCCTGCTAGTATAATTTTTTAAATTTTGGAATTTTGTACAACTTGTCAACAGTATTACTGTGAAAACAGCCCAGAATTCACTTGAATCGTATATATTTGTTAATATGGTCTTTGCACCATAGTATTGTATTATAAGTATTTGAGTAATACCAAGATTTTTTTTTTGGTTTTAGGAAAAAATTGACCTTGTTTAACAATCTAAGTAATTCTATGTTTTTATCATTTTTAATTGAATTAAACAAATCCTAGCTAGTGATGACCATAAAAGTTTTAAATATTTGAAATATACTTTAACCATTTTAGTCTTTTAAAAACGTTCATATTTAATACCAAATAAAGTACTATGCAATTCATACTTGCCAGTAGTTATCTTATGTTCTCAAGTGGTTGTGTGTGTTATGGGGTAGGGATTGGTTATGTGTTGGGTTGAGTGAGGGTAAAGTTACTGTTGAATCAGAATATTCCAGTATTTTACAGTTTACAGCCTTGCATCAAAGCGAGACAGGAATTGAGCCTGCAATGATATACCTTTTGTTAACACCTAAGACAATTATTGACAGGTATCTTTCATTGCAATCTGAACTACTGTCTCGCTTTGATGCAAAGGCTTGGAATAACTTTTAAGTGCGTGGAACTTTAAAATGGAGCATTGATCTGTCAGACTGTCCAATGAGAATGCCAGAATGTGGGGCATTTGCACTGTCTGAACACCCCAAGGTGTGCATTGGTAAAATATATGGAACAATATTATTAGTTAAACAAACATAAGTGAAAGTGTCAGAGTCAGTTTTTAACCCAGTCATTTTATTTTTTCCACTTTACAATCTGTTTCTACAGAGGTCCAGTTGATTGCCAGTGCCGAATACATAGTTTACCAGAATATATATGTTGCACAATTTCATACAACCATGAAAATGTGAGGTGCTGACTGAGGGAGAAACATCATTCATTCTTTTGTTAATTTACACTTAATGTTGTCACTGGTATAAAGTAATTTTCCTTTAACATGAAAAAAATTGTTAAACTGGCTAACAATTAGCACTTTAACACTTTTCTATAAATTTTTCAACTAGTACATGAAAGTTATGTAGTAACTGAAAAAAAACCCTCAACACCTCACTTATTCATATCCTAAAGATGATTACATGAAACTAGTGTTGTAAACATTATTATAATAATGGAATTCAAGAATTGGTTTATGACAACAAGTAGAGTGAACACATTTAATCTATGAAATTGTACAAAATTCAAAAGAGTACAGATATGTACTAAATCTACACTGAAGCTGAACATCCTTTGAATCGCCATTGTCCTTTGCAAACATCACTTGCTATTATTTAGCAGATTAATTGCACACACTGTACTATACATAAGTCATAGCAATGACATATCAGTTCATGTCTTCATATTATACAATTTTTTTGTAGTCTGTTATCAGAACAAGTCTGTTGCTCTAAACTGTGATAATTCAGAGTATTGTAGCTTTAAAATATATATTCCTTGAGAACTCCCTAATTCATACCTCAAAGAATGAAACATGCAGATATTAAATACCGATTACATGCTTACACAACCAAAGCATGCTGATCAAATTTTACACATTACACTATCCTAAATATCCCAATTTTTATGATTTATATTTTAGATATTCATTTGATTTTGAATAAATCTATTTTACTCTATCTTTGATGTCCAACTTATATTGAGACACTTTCTGTTCAACTGCCTCATCATTCCACGGCGTACTTAAAATTTTAAAATATAGACGAACAAATTTCTCAACTTTTACTCTATTTACAATAATTATTATTTTGTAGCAGAGTGCTTATACAGCTATGACCATGAAATAATAATTAAATCCTTACTATCTAATTAACAATTAGTAGTTTCTTCCATTGACATAAGTGCAAACGCTCTATAACCAAGCTACTGCTAAACATTAACCAATCATATTGCAGTTTTCAGACAGATCATAAACTAATATACTATGTCACTTTAATGACTTTATAGAAGCAATCTGATTGGATTATAACATATTAATCTTTTACTGCTATCTGATAAGCCAACTGGTGCAGTATTTAAGTACCCCTGCCCTTAGCCACACTGTATGGTATAATATAACATCTTTATATAGGACCATCTACAGTGGTAATGTCAACAATTTTATAAACAGAATTATTATTACCATTATATTAGGTCTAAAATTATCTACTTTAAACATGCCATCTAAACCATCTATCTTTTTAAACAGGTGAGTATTTCTCAAAAGAAAGGCTAAACAATAATATTACATGTATATTGAAATATTTATGACTACATTATGTCAGTGAAAAGAATGGTTTTCATATATTATTTAAGCTGTTTGAAATGATTTCTTTTGGTTTATTGTTGGAAACAGTGCAAACCAGTCTGTTTTGACAACTAATACTATATTCTAGTTTCTACTAGCTAACACTATGCCCAAAGATTAAAAACAATATTCTTAAATATAACCCATGAGCAAATGGAAGTGATGTTTGTACTACATGTACGTCTTTAACCTATTTGAAATTTGAATTCAATGCAACCATAACAAAATATATCTCTGCATTTATAATATAAAATAATACCAATAATTTAGTGAGACTTAAATAACTTGATTAACATAAACAAGTGATTTGTATCGACAGATCATGTGACAATAACATAAACATCTTCCTCAATTAAAGTAGATTTGACTTGTCACTCAAACAAAGGATAAAATTAGTGACACTTCACCTTAGGTTTACAAACAGTAAACATCAAAAAATATAAAAAAAATAAAAAAAAGATTGTATTTAAAGCTTTCCTTAAAATCTGCTAGAACATGGTCATGTGATCTGTCACTACCAATCACTTGTTGTTATTCACCTGTTCAACTGTCCGTACCATATAAAGTCATTGAGATTGAACTTAAATAGCCAGGGTACTTGGATTTCTTTCTATACATTCCATAATTTTGTTCGTCTTGAAGGACATCTTCTAACTGCCTCACTTCATCCTCAGATGCAATCTCATCTCTCATATAGTCAGTGCCATATCTACCATGTCTGATTTCATCACGGTAGTTGTCGTAGTTTGTAGATAGRTCATCAGCTTTGGACCTTTTGTGCCTCTTTTTGTCCAAATCATCCTCTTGAGGTYTTGGAATTTCATCACGATGAGCCTTCTTCCTCCTGGCGTCGATCTCGTGCTTTTCTTCTTCCTCGATGTCAATTGTGTTCTTCTTCTCGAACGGCTTGTCAGAGTTGTCTTTGAATTCAATTTCCCACCGTCCCCTTGGGTTCTCTCCCCAGAAATGAACAGTCATGAATTCCCATTCATCAAGGCCTGCAGTTGATTCATCATACTTGCGAGTTGAAAGAAGCATACTTCTTGTTCCACTTGGTGAGATGATATCRATGCTTAAAGCTCCACGGCGGTTATGCTTCAGGGATACAGTTACTTGGACATGCTCCAGCTTCGTTGTTYTATTCTTATTACTACTTKCACAGCCATCAGTCCACAAGCGCACTTTCAGAACTCCGTTGCGTAAAAAGGCTTTTTGTTGATTTTGGAATCCTTTTACATGGCAAACGTGCTGCTCTGGAACAKGCTTCCATTTTAATGCTGCGTGAACCAAAGCACTTGCATTGATTCTTCCAAAGCCAAACTTGTGGTTGAATTCAATGCCTGCCCCGTTATACTTCCAACCATCATCTTTAGGGCTTGTTTTTTGGGCTGTTTGAACAACAATATGCTGAAGRTCTCTCCAAGTTAGACTTGGGTTTGCTTGAAGAACTAAAGCAAAGATSCCAGCAGCCAGTGGTGCAGCAGAKGAGGTGCCGCGGAATGACTTGGTGCATTCATGATGCAATGCAGTGGTTATTAACTTATATTCTTTCTCATTACCTTTGTGACTGTCCCCGGTGAATGTAACACACATTGTGGATGAGCACTGTTCGTCRTAGTAAGTTGACAAACCATAYGAACTGATTGCTCCCACTGAAATGGTATAAATACTTGAAGTGTATCCRTCACAATTACAATCATCRTCAACAAGGCCTCCATTTCCAGTTGCCCACACATAAATAGAACCTTTGCCTGTAGAAAGAAAACAATAAATATTATATGTATTCAAAGCATTTATAAATACTTTTTATTACATAACTATAGAGTTTTAAAAATATTTTGATTCTGCCTACTTTGTTTTGTTTATATTTATATTATATGTATTAACCTTTCTTGTAAACCTTTCCATGTTGTATTTCTTGTTTCAAAACAAMAGAACTAATTGAAAAACATTTTCATAACGAAATACTTAAAAATTCGAAATGTTTSGCTAATTTTTCAATTGAAAACGTTTTTGGCTATCAAACAATGTAGGTGTCTGAATTGCTAGAAAAAGGATTATAATTAAAGATGCTGATTTGTGGTAAAAAAATAGATTATGTTATTTTATGAACTAACKGAAATATTACATGGGAAAATACTTTGTGTTGTTTTTACAGAGAAACTGAAATGTTCAAAGGAAGTACTTTTATCAATTATGGGAAGCCATTTGAATGCTATTTCGAAACCACGCGGCAGTAATATAATGGYAGCAATTCCATTCAGTGGATGATCACCAATTCAACGTCCGGCATTTTTTGAAAGAAAAGAAGTTCAGTAATCATCTCGAATATGGAATCTGGTGATTTTTTTCCGCTTTTGACAGTTTGATAAACTACTTAGCTCTATAGCTTTTAGAAACCTTAACCTAGTAACTATTTTCTATAAATCATTTGTCATAAAATCGGACAAAATTTAATTGAGAAGATATAAATAATAAACTGTAGAATACAAATTTGGCGATGTGTTCAAAATAAATCACTTGCAGGTGCACTTAAATGACAATCGAGTTAGAATCCAATCTTCACTCCCACGACTGCGGTCATTTTCGCATTTTTCTTGGCATTAAATTAAATTATTTYAGTGATTTTACAGCTTAGGGTGCTACAATATTGATCTAAGCTAGTTTTGACGAGAAAAATAAAATATATGTTTAGTATATTCTCAAGGGATTGTAAAGTCAGTAAAATAAGAGGAAAATTTAATGAATTATTGATGTCTACATCTAGGCATACTAAAATTTGATTTAWAAACCAAATATTTTAGGCAAATGAGGCCTCAGATCGATAACAACAAAATGACAATGAAAAAATAAGACTTTTCAAATAAAATATTTCGGTTACAGCAAGCTGGAATAGCCAATAGTATTCTCGATCAACATGTAAACAACAACATACCTCCGCGGCCCTTYRTAGCACCATTTTTTAGCGCCTCTCGACCTAACTTCCCAGGCCTTCCAAACGTTTTCCCATCGTCTTTCGGTCCCCAACAATTACTATAAATGTCAATGTATTGTGGCTTATAACTCAGGGCATTTGACTCAAGTATATCGGTGGCTGTTCCATCAAGCATGCGAATGCCTCCAAGGTTCACTTCAGGAGCGACCCCGACGCCACAAATATCGTTGTCAGCTTCGGCTCCAATTTCTCCCCCACATTTAGTGCCGTGTGCATTATAGGGATCTTTGTCGTTAGGGAAAGGATCGGAATCTTTATTGTTCATGTCATAGCTTGCATGAGGATCGTAGTTCTTTTTTAAGTCGGGATGAGTGTGATCAAGACCATCATCTAACACACTGACAACTACTCCTTTACCTCTGTATCCTTTCTTCCATACATCTAAAACTCCGATATCGTTCCCTACAGGAACATCAGATTGCCCAACATTATTCAAATACCACTGTTCTGGGAATTGGGGATCTCTGAAAAATCTTTTGTCTCTCTCAGCTTGTAGTTCTCGTTCTCTTTCTCGTAAAGTATCGAAGTAGCCTCGCTTTTCCCTCTCGAAAACGCGTTGCCGTCTTGCCCACTGAACTCTTGGATGAGCGATCAGACGCTTCGTTCTTGTCATCGTACTTCGCTTCATTCGAGTCGCTTTTTCGTCGGGAACAAATTCATAATAATTCCCAGAAAGTGAACCTACTTTTCCCAAGTTTCTAAAGCCATGACTTCTGGCAATTTTGTCAGCAACGGCATTATCATCYGTGTCGAGTTCAACGGCCCAACGATCACTCAGACTTCCACCGTCTTCGTTCTCGAAGTCCGTGTATTCATCTTCGTCGATTTGCGAGGCAAAACTTGATAGAAAAACACACACAAAAATCAAACCATATAATATGGATATTCTTAATAACATTTTTTAAAGTTAAAGGACAAGGAGTCCTTTTACCGAAACGAAAATATACTCAACGTGTGTTTTGCCCGGAATAAATTTTTGAGGTTAGCAGAGTCATCTATGCATAAATTAACGGCTAGCGAGGCTAGCGCCAATGATTTGACAGTGCGGAGGAAGTTGCTGGGCGACGGGTTATGACATCAAAGATCAAGAAAGCTTTAATTTTCTCTGCCAAGTCTATTTATTCTACCTMTTTGATGAAAGATTAAACTAAAAGCATGACATATTTGGAGTATTTGTTTCAAGATTGAAAATGATTAGGGGAAAAAATTTTGAATTTAAATTCTGAATATATAATACGAATCAAATGGGTGAAACGGAGAAACGGATCAATTCCCGTTAGTGGCTCATGCACTTAGAATTATATAATGCAAAACCGAAAACAAGCTGATAATTGATGTTTAATGTTCGTTTCGTGTGGTACACTTGCTTTCAAATTATTTGTGGATTGACCATTAATTATTCTATATTTTCTGATTTGTAGTAGAAAAAAGCTACCAGAATTTTTTCCCCTTTTTGGTGCTAAACAAATACAGCCAAACGTGAGTGTAAAAAAAAGGAGTCTCCGCACGGTGAAACAATCGTGTTCCATGACTTACAAGCAGAAGCAAAAGACACAAATCAAATACTAAAAACCCGCACATAGAAAGAAATGAAAACATAGAATGAGACGTTATAAAAAATGCGAATACTAGCCAGTAAGTTGTGTGAAGGGCAGAAAGAATTCACTTTTTAATTTCCCAGTTCGATCGATGCGTTATAATATTTGCGGTTTAAAAATACCCTGAGAGCAGTGTGTTCTTTGCCTTACCTCCGCAGATAACAACAGTTTATCCACAGGGAAGAGAAAAACACGAAAAGAAAGAAAGAAAAAAAGAAAAACGGACTACGAAAAGTGCAAAAGACAAAGCCAGGAATTGTATCGAGATGTCGAGCTCTGTCTCAATTTGCCGACATTTTGTTATGATCAAACACGCGCTCTTTTTACTGCCTAGAAGAGCAGTTATAATTTAAAGTGCACTATAATGTACTATAGAGCAGATAACTGTATGTAGCTCATGAACATCTGTTAATGCTGCACGCTGTCATTTCGTAATTTTGAAATGCTCGTAGGCGTTGCCTGTGTGTACGTCAGAGAAAGACAGGAAATGAACTTGTATTTGACAATAAATGTCTTTGTTCTCATTTCTCTACGTTGTTCACCTGCTGTTCCTTGTCAGAATCAAATCATTTCGTACTGTTTTGTCCGCCTATTCAGGATCTTTTGTCCTTTCCTGAGCGTTCTCGATTTATACACAGTGATAAACTGCTGCTCTATCTGAAAGAAGAGAATCATGATGAAGTATTTATAGTTTGTCTCAGAACACCGCAGCCACCAGTGTTAAGTTCTCTTCGGTTTCTTACATGTAATTTGCAGTTTTTTATTATATTTGTTTTCAGTCATATAGTAGACTCTTTTCCCCAGCGACGGAAAAAATATTAAATTTACAGTTTATTTTGGTCAAACTGAAATTTGAAATGAAGATATTTCAATTGTCTGACGTTTGAAAAAAAGTTTCATCCAACTCCAACGAGAATAAAGCTGCCGACTGCTCTTTCTCAGCGTTACTACGTCTGGCAATAATCAAAAACAATTCCTTATTTATTATGTTGCGGTAAACGTTATATTWGAATTTTGTTTTTGTTGTTAATAATACAGTATCTGAATTGAGTTGATGAATTGCTTCCGTAATTCCCATTCAATGAAATACTTGACTGGGTTCATACAGAAATCGGCGGAAGTTTAGACGGATAGATCTGAATGTCGTACTGATTAATTTTCCTGATCTTGTAAAGAAAAACGCGCTAATATGACTATTGAACAAYACCATTAGAAGTATGTTTTTTATATTTTGAACTATTTTATACACCTATAGTTGAAAAAACGTTGTCCACGGTTCTCAATAAGGAAGTAGGGAACTTCAGATTTGGCAATGAGTACGAGATTTGTGAGTACGAGTACGAGTTTTCAAACCAGCTTTTTGTTGTGTTGTCCATACCGGATTTCAATCCACTTCATGTTTTTATTTCTTTGATCTTTCAATCTACTCGCAGGAATGCAATTCATGATTAATAGCATACTTAAGGCCAATTTTAAAACTCGTACTCGTACTCAATCTCGTACTCGTTGTCAAATCTGCCGAAGCACATCGAAGAGAATTTAAGAACCGCTCCGATTCGAATCATATACTTCCCCAAGTTACATCATAGCATTGCCCGTAGAGATTGTCGTCATTTTATTCAGTTCAGACAATCTTTTGRTACTGAAACACTATATATAATATACCGTAATCAGTACTTGCCTTCCCATATTTCCTTTATTCGGTTTTAGATTTGATTTAGAAAACCTTTTGGAGCCCCCGACCTTGTACGTTTTTTTCAAAAAGGTGTATACACATCAATCAGAAGAATGACAACATTGCTAACAGACCATTCATAATCTGAACTAAACTTAACTTTACACTGTATGCATGTATAGCCTCCATATTCATTACATATCACAAACAGTTGTTGTGTGCGCGTTTACAAAAAAGACGATCGTTTTTTCTTCGAGAATATCCCGAATACCTTTTTGGTGGTCTCGTGTAACGATCTATTATAAGCCCAAAAGTATGGCTAAAATGTGCGGTTTTTAAAGAAAAGGTAAACGCCAAGCACATCCTATCTCATGAAAGTCGTGCACTGCGTCAGTACAAGCCAAGTCTCAGCATTTTTTTTTTCAAAACCGCATTACGAATATTTAGTTTTTTTTATTTTTAATTAATATTGTTATGGATTTATTTATGCGTCTTAAAAACGATGGCCTTTTTATTGTAAACAAAAATTTGAATTTATGCTTATATTTAGGTGTTAAACCATGTGAACTACATCGGCATGAAGTACAGTTAGTGATGAAATATTAATAATAGCTTCAACTGATTGTACTCAAGATTTCGAATTCCTATACGAATTCATCGTGATGACGGCGAGTGGAGCCATGTGCCATGCGCAGCTAAGTGGTAAATAAGCCACGCCCGCATGTCACTCTCATATAGCCTCCTACGTGGTTGTCACGAAGCCTTCGAAGCCTGCTTAGTTTTGATTGCTCCGTTAGAAAAAAAGAAAAAAGAATTAGAAGAGAAAAAAAACTTGTAAACAAACTCAGTGTATYTTTGTTCTGATCAAATCACAGACTCTTTATAGATTCATATCAAATAGTAAAATATAATATAATGAATAACAATATTTATATAATATTTGGTACATTACGCGCTCTTTGTTCTAAANAAACAAATGATTTCATTTTTCTGTGCGTCGATACTCTAATAGATACACAGAAGATGCCAAAATGTGATGAGAACAACAGTAGGCACTCGACTCTAGGAAGGAGAAGCAAGGAAAAACGCAATGGGAATCTATAAGTTGAATATGATAAATACTGTCTGATGAGTGCGTAGCACGAAACTCGGAGTTATAGCAAAATCTTGACATTGCTGAAGAGCATACGCTCATGCAATAGAATTTAGCAGTACTTTCTAAACCTTTTTGAATTGAGGGAGATAAACGGACTTTCAACTGATAACTATCTGTAATGGCTGACAGACTAGGTAAACCAAAAATAAATCTAATATAGCGGCGGCCACCTTTATTAGTCTTTACGTCTTTGCCATTCGCTAGTAATAAATGATACCAAAACCGACGTTCGCCTTTCTCTGATCTATCTAATATGCATTCAATATGAGCAAACAACGGTGTCTCACGGATGTTTCAAGTAATTATAAAGCATTGATGGATAGTACTGTAAAAATATCCCACTTTCCTGTGTTTTGCTGATTTACCACGCACAAAAGAATTGAATACAAGCCTCAATTCATACACGCCGTGAGATTCCCACAAGCAAATGAAAAAGATTAAGATAGTACTAATTAAGGGTTGTAAGTCTGCTTAGCGGTCGTAAAATAGGGGTAGTTGCGTAAAGGGAATGCCGGCTGGGAGGAGAAAGTGCAAGGTCTCGATCTACATGAATATTACGCTATATATATCGACTCCGCTACAAAATGAATTTTAGAACAATCGACGTAATGAAAAAGAAATCTACTAGCATCGAGTTTGTCACATCAATGATGATAAATATATAAAGTTTCAAAGAGATAGAACTGTTTTAAGTTTAAAAACTCGCGAATATGTGAATTTTCAAAACTCTTTTGTTTGGGCAAAGACTGGCAAAGAAATTGGATTGTAGCCGGCAATCTATGCCCGGTGAACCCCATTTTCATGGTAAACACGGATAAAATATGAAAGTCAAGAAATTCGTCAATTTAAGAGCAATATTTTTGAAACTTTTGCATCTTATCTCTAATGATGTAACCAAATGAATTCGATACTTCATTTCGTTTTTCATATTTATCAAGTAAAGGTCTATTCTCAATAGCTCGTCAAATCTTCTCAATCATGAGTTTTGATCTCCAACCTCCAAAGATTTGGTGAAAATGCATGAAATGGGCTTCCTGTGGAAAACCATGTTGTTATCTTTTACTCTAGCAGACGAACCAAACTATTGTTACCCAAGTAATGACGTCACAGACATGCCTGACACGTTATGATGACAGGGAGCACTTCATAAGCACTGTTCAATAAAGATAAATAATACAACGCCGAGACTCTGTATGAACGTAGCAATATGATAGGTAGCTTATTTTCCAGAAATCGGTGAAATCATTTCCCCATATTAGCTCTAGCAAGTCAAGTCAGTACTGACAATATCTACGTATAGTTTCACACTGCCTACTTTTCAAAATGAGCCATTTTAGGCTGGCGTATGCTCTAGTGCTAGTCTCAGTACTAGTCTCAGCAGTGGTGCAAATTTATATTGATATTGATTACCGTCCATTCAAATCTTATTTTAGGAACGAGAGTTGGTCGTGATAGTGGTATTACTTTAACGACAACGGTTGTAAGATTCCAAAAATATTGTTTCACGTCAATGCTGCGTGTTCACGCGTATCAAGAAAATAGTATAGCGCGACTGTTTGTTGTCGGATAAATATCGCCTCCATCAACATGAATTTTGCTCGACTCTGTTCTTTTCTCTACTTTAATCAAGTGGAATTGAAGATGAGAAAATTAGAATCATTTTTAAGAAATATTTGTAGTGAAACTACAAAGGCGGGAGGGAAACCTGACTGAGACATTTTCGTGGCGAAAACTGGAAACTAGGCATATACTGGGGGACCCACTCGGGATAGTTTGCCGGCTTCCAGACCAGAGTTCGTAAGGATTTTGGAAAGTTTTGTGAAAATCATATTTTAATCATTGTGCTATAGAAAAGCTTTTTTTTTCTTTTCTAGACATCTTACTAGTACCTTGAAAGAAAAGTCAGTTCGATAAAAATGTCGATTTCTTCGCTCCAATAAATTCATTTTCAATACGAAAAAAAGCCAGCTGGTTTCCTTCAAGATCGACCAACGTCGGGACATGAATTGTATTTTATTTGTGAAAAGCATAGTCCTTTATTATTCATAAAAAAATGAAATAAAAAATGTAAATTCTCTCAAGCAATAGTTGCAAAGTCTACGGCAATCATGCAATACACTAGCAAAATATTCAATCTAAATGTTAATACACTATTCAGATGCATTATTGGATTTTTCATTATTTTTCGTTTTCAAACTTCAGTTGATTAATGTAAAATTAAATTTAAATATCGAACTCTGATAATGACAGAAAACAACACAGCATTTCCAGCTTTTTTAGACCGTCATTTCAGTTTCGCGAGAAGGAACAGATCCAACCAATTAAATTAATTACAGACAGCATAATGCATCGACTTGTGGAAATTACAAAAGACCACTCATGTTTACAAGCGAAATACGAATAARACTTTATGAAAATCCGATCAATAATCATATCCAATCAAATTTCGAAGTTTTAATTAAAATTTGTTTTCGATAATGCAATGTTGAATCGACCAAGAATCGTCATGTCTTTGTAATAGTGTCTAATAGTTGTATTAGAGCCATTTTCATCCGTCTGTGAAACAATTATTATACTAGTCAGTGTTTAATAGTAACTATTAGGGTGTAGTAGGCTACCAAAAGGCAAAATCAAAACCGTTTTTGCCTAATTGTCTAGTGTCGCGTGCTAAGTTAAACTATTTGGAGCTAATAGACTAGTATTTAATAATACAATTCCTATTTTACAGACGGATAAAAATGAATAAAAGAACACAATGGGTGTAGAGTCTACTGGTGTCTAGAATGGTTTTCATTAACCCTTGAAACACACTTTAGCGTATTTATCGCTATTGCACTTTGCTTACCCTGGTCCCAGAGGTTTTCTTTTCTCTTCTTTCATAGATGTTTTTTATCGTATTTTTGTCTAAGACAAAAATGTTTTTTATTGTATTTTTGTCTAAGACAAAAATACGATAAAAAACATCTATGAAAGAAGAGAAAAGAAAACCTCTGGGACCAGGGTACACTTTGCTCTTTTGTTTTTTAGAGTGGTTTTCATTAACCCGTGAAACAAAGTGTAATAGTCAAAGTGTAATAAAGTGTAATAGCCAAGAAAAATAATAGAAAACAAAAGAGACAATGTGTAATAAAGTGTAATACGCTAAAGTGTATTTCACGGGTTAATGAAAACCACTCTATTGTTTCTACGCGACTATTACGATCTATTACACTCTAATTATTACACTTTGTTTCACGGGTTTATTCACAGTCCGATGAACATCACTATGTTATTTGTACGATCTACTGCTTAATGACCATTCAAATCTTATTTTGGGAACGAGACTTTGTTCGTGATAGTGGTATTACTTCAACGATAACGCTTGTAAGATTCCAAAAATATTGTTTCACGTCAGTGCTGCGTGTTCATGCGTATAAAAGGAAAAGTATAGCGCAACTGTCACTTTGTTGTCGGATAGATCGCTTCCATCAACATGAATTTTGCTCTCTTCATTTTCGCCGCTTGTTCCATCTGTTCTTGTCTCTACTTTAATCAAGTGGCAGGTGAGAAAATGATAATCATTTTTAAAAATATTTGTAGCGAAACTAGTAGACGGGAGGGAAACCTTATAAAAAATTGAACCTCTGGAACACACTCATTTTGTGTACATGTTCTCATGCAAGTTATTGTTGTCAGTGGTCTGAACACAACATTAATGTGCATGACGCTCTCAAAAACACTATTTTTGTGAGTTTCATGAGTTATAACAGTTTTAGATTTCTCACGATTGACTCACTTTTCTCTTTCAGAACTCTGTTATAAGTGTACTTTTCATTGCAGTTTCAGGGATCATTTATCTTTCCGAAGGAAGTAAAAAAAGTAGAATTTTCCGATGTTTTTACAATAAAATATCTTAAGACAGCCCATGGCTAGCCCGACTAAATTTAGCACATCTGGAAGTTAAAAAAGTATTTTCCCGGTTGTAAAAAAATATGCAGCGGGGTGGGGATGACCCCGGTCATACCCAGTGACATTTGCACTTTCCCTGGTGGGGTGGGGATATTTGGCATTTGTTAGGTCGTATATGTAATAGCGACTGCTTGCGATGCTTTGGTGATCATTGATTAGCATATACGTAAATCATATTGATAATTATACTAAGATATGATTATCTATATTGCAGGAGTGACTAACATAGTCCCACCATTTCCTTCTAATCCAATTTTGATTGAGGGTGAATCAGCAGAAGTTACTTGTGTTGCATATAACAGTGACRATGTTACCAAACCAGCAAACATAACCTTCCTCAAGAAGTTTAATATATATGGCGACACAATACCCATTTCAGACGAAGGACAACATGGAAGCTATAATCTTAAAAGACAAACAGAACGTAAGGTTGAGTAAGATCTCTTTTGCTTACCCACCCTTCTTCCCCTCCACGAACTGATAAAAGATTCCTGATCCCTTGATCCCTTATAAATGTACTTTATCACTGAATACTTATACAAGTTCTGATCTTTTACAGTAAATGGTTTGAGACTTCTTACAACAATGGTCATAAACAAAATGAATGCACGTTTGGCTGGTGGCTACATCTGCCGATCAYGGCGCCCCCATGATAACAGTGGCCGGGCAGTAAGGCCAGCAAGTCATGACTTTCAAGTTTTATATGTTGCACGTATGTACTAAGGGACTGCGCGCAATATTTATCAGGAGGGGGGAGGGGGTTKAGAAATGAGCCAAAATCAAAAAAGCTTATTACTAACCCCCTGGCAAACGAAATAAATTACGCTCTGCCCCCCTCCCCCGTGAATTTATTTATCTATTATTTGTGAATRAAAGGTTTAGTGACACGCTTTTCTTGAAAGTGTTTGAACCTGACACCGTTGATTTTTTAAGTTTCTAATTAAAGTTCTAGTTAATTTTCGACGTTACCCCTTCTTTCAGCACATAAAATTAGATGCTGCCCCTCTCTGGATTCTCAACCCCTCTCCTGATAAATATTGAGCAGTCCCTAAATTAGTTTTATCAGGATTTTATAATGCCACAGTTGGGTTATTHATGAACTATGTTTTAATGAATATTATATAGTATTTGGGGATATAAAATCAGAATGCTACAGTGTCTACTGTGATCATGACGGTGTCTTACTTCAAACCTTTGTGCTTTCCTTTCTGCTTATGTTAACGTTGCTAGATTTAATCTTATTTCCACGCGTTTATATTTGTTAACAATAGATAAAGACTTACCAAAGGCAGCCATACATGGTGGTGGAACTATCAATTATGGCGATTCAGCCAAACTCACATGTGATGTCACAGACGGTAGTTGGATGAACGCTCCGTTATCGGGACTAGCATGGATGAAAGATAACGTGATAATAAGAAATGGAACCTCGGCAACTGTTCTAGAACCTTTAATCATCAAGGACGCGTCTACTCAAGACGGCGGTGAATATAAATGCGTTGGAGTTGCAAAACTCAAACGTTCTGAACCAAGATCGCTCTTGTTGAACAAGACAACAGTTTACGGTAAGAGCCTTAGCAACTGCTTAGYCAGGTTTTAAAACGTGAAAACGTTTTTTGGATTAATTTAACATAAATAATGTAATAATACAGTATATTTATACCCCACGTGCATCCAAGAACTTTTGCGTGATTTTCACATATACGAAACTCCCCATTTTTGATTTTTCAACCAATCAGAAAGCACCTTTCAACAACGAGATCATTTATAAATTAATTGCTTAATTATGCATTCAAGCAAAATAATAATAAAAAAACACTCGTAATTTCGTTATCATTCCAGTTCGACTTAAGGTAGACAATGGCACAACAGAAGTGAAGGGAGGTGAGGGTAGTAGCATTACGATGGACTGCCCTGCTTATGGCTACCCTCTGAATGTGACATGGTGGAAAATGAATCGAGAAGGTCAACAACAACGACTTGGTAAGACTTGGTTTTTGGATAAGAGTATGTTCGTTTGACTATTCTACAGCACAGACTAACGACATAGACGACACAAGGATAAGCAAATCTAAAGAATAATTAGATAAACGGTTGTTATCCAGACCAGACTTTATTATCTACATTTTCATCAATCTCGTACCCCGAGCCTTCGTTTTTTTTGGCCAGCGCTGTCGACAAGCATAAGAAGTCTTACGTTTTCGGCGCTGGCCAAGAAAACGAAGGCTCGGAGTACAAGATTGCATTTTCATAATTTTTTCCTTCTTTCAGTCAACAACGAGCGACATATGATGTCAAGACCCTGCCCTACATGCCGATACAGATTGACAATCAARCACCTACAGSCTCCTGAYGTTGGTCAATATATTTGTAAAGCAAAACTAAACATGCAGTCAGGAATGCATTACTTCAGACTTTCTATTAGTAAGTGAAGAAATTAYCAGGCCACTTTTCGGAAAACCAGTAGATTGATCAGGATTACCTCYGAGGGATACAYTGATAAATTGGCAGCGACTGTTTACCCATTGAAATTCATTACGTGTTTATCGTCATTTGTTTATATTCTTRCCTTGTAAGAAGTTCACAACTGGTGCATGCGTTTTAAAAAGTGTTTCTTACGCTGTAGTGAGTTCAAAAAAGAGTGACGCTTTCGTCTGTTCAACAATGAATCCAGATGGGATGATAAGAGTAGCTAGCCACCCCTATGGTGAAACTAAATAAAAGAAATTGTTGTATGCGTTTTGACATTTGTGTCTCAAAATTGTGTTGCGCAGCTGATTGGCAAAGTATTTTGGATTAATTTAACATAAATAATATATTAATCATCCAAGAACCTTTGCGTGATTTTCTCATATACGAAAATTCGCCATCTTTGATTTTTCAGCCAATCAGAAAGCACCTTTCAACAGCATACAGTTTGTAAATTAATTGCTTAATCTTTATGCATTCAAGCAAAATAATAATAAAAAAAACACTCGTAATTTCGTTATCATTCCAGTTCGACTTAAGGTAGACAATGGCACAACAGAAGTGAAGGGAGTTAAGGGTAGTAGCATTACGATGGACTGCCCTGYTTATGGCTACCCTCTGAATGTGACATGGTGGAAAATGAATCGAGGATGTCAACAACAACAACTTGGTAAGACTTGGTTTTTTGATACGAGTATGTTCGGCACAGACTCACGACACTGACCATATCAAAGTCATTGATTGCATATAAAAGCTTGTATCAACTTCCGGTGATCACGCTCCCAACAATGCCCGACTATAAATAGCACCCGATTTGAACCGTTTTGCTCATTTATTTAGAATCGGCTCTATAATGTCGATTATTACCATTGGATTTATAAAAAGTAATATAAATTYAAACTATTCAGACTGGGGGACTTTTGAGCTTTCGAGTAAAATGCCTTTCGAACCAAGACAGCTACAGCTCTGAAACTTTCGGACTTTTCCCAGAATTTATCTAGGCAGATTTTGATGTACATTTTATGTTGATATCGACATCCATGTTGCCATGGAAACCAGTTTTTAACACAGATTTTCAAAAAAGTAAAATATGCTTAATTTTTCATTTTTGAAGCTTATTTCTTGTTTTATTTTTTTATGCATTTTTTACCTATTTGAGTTTGCTCCCATTGCTGATTCTACAATACCATAATAATTTTTTGGCAACAAAAACTTTGGAGGAAGGGGTGCGTAGTTTTCAGTCATTTTTTTCAGATGGGAGAAACTTTCCTTAAAATCATAAGTAACACTTCGAAACTCACTTTTTTATCTATTAAATATTAGTTTGAGAAGTATTTCATACATTTTTAGCTACTTGCCTCAATGTTTAGTTTTTTAATGGGATTTAAAAAAATCCAAGATGGCGGTCCAAGATGTCGGGTCCTAAGATGCCGGATATTCTTGCCAAAATTGCTTGTTTTAATTTTTTTTTACTTCAAAAACTCCTCAAATTGTGAAGTTTACCATRAAATATCGATGTAGCCGAAAAAAAGTGAGATTTGGAGTCAAATTATTCAAAGACGACAAAAACACTATAGGAAATGACGTCATCACAATTATGACGTCACACTTGTTACCATGGATACAAAACAATCTGCAACATCACAGGAGAGCGGTAACGCCTAGATATGATATTTAACTGGTTAGTCTAGATCTAGATATAACATTTATAAAAATTATCTGATATCTATGACGTCAATGACGTCATATAGAACGGGGGGCAATTAACAAACCAAAAAATATTATATCAATTTCATTTTAATAATGAAGAGATGATATTGCAGCATTTTCTATGGCATTGTAGGCATTTATAAAAATGCATTATCATGAATCGTTAAAATGATGTGAATAACGTCATTATGACGTCACATTTAGTTCCCACGGGTCAAGACTGGGTGTGTTGGACTGTTGGTCCAGTCCGAATAGGGTTAAGCCTCATGAAAATCGGATTTATTTTGCAAAGTTTAAAAAATAAGGGAGTCAAAATTCTATTTTCTGAATCAAGGTTGCGTACCTACACAAGACGTTTTGAACCCTTTTCACCATGGGTAATACAACGTGSTGTCCGTACTCATTTATGCATGCCCATACTGTAATATTACCGCAACTTTCGAAAAGAGCGGCAAATTTGCTAGATTTTGACATATAATTCGCCTATATTTTCAAACATTTTAAGGGGTCAAATCACGATGAAATCTCGAGCTATTTCATATTTATATTTTGCTGTTCGTCCCCGATTTTTAGACGCCTCTCGGGAAGCTGTGAATATGGCCTCAACACATTCGAATATTGCCCGTTCCGAAATTCAAAAAGGGACTGGTGACTAGTCACGAACTCGATACCAGGACAAGAAAGAGCCTAAAATTAGTAAAGTTGCTGAGTTTGAGAGTATTCGGATTAATAATTACAGAGTTTCAAGCGTTTAAAACTCGAAAATTACAAAGAATGTATGGAGGTTTTAGTATATTTTAGTGTGGTCTTTTATGTGATGAGGTTCAATATTTTCACACTCGTTCCCAGTCTCCCTTTGAATTTCGGAATGGCCAATTCGGAAAATGATTCTCCTTCGTTCCATTGCAATATTAACAAGTAAATATAAACAAATTAAATAAAATTTACGAATTTGATTCCTTTTTTTACTCAAATATCTATACAATAAAATTGTATTATTTACAGCTATCTTCTCTACACAATCGCAAGAGAAAATAAGAGCGATGGTGATTCGTACGTCGTGCTGAAAAGATAAATAAATTATTTTATCATAAACTTGATATTCTGTTATTGTAGAATAAAAATAAACTAGAACTAGAAGGGCAGAAGAGAGAATTAGAAGAGACAGTGKCAGTCTGGACGCTAAGAGCAAATGGTCTAGTTGGCAG